GGCTGGAGGAGGCCGGCGGCCCTGCGAGGGGGAGAGCAGCGAGGTCCCGGAGCACGCGGAGGAGGCCTCTGCCTCGCCAGGCGGCCAGGAAGGCGCGGGAGATGTGGAGGCGCGGTGTGCGGCTGAACACCAAGGCGACCAGGGCCAGGAGGGCCAGGGAGGCCAGGGCCAGGGCCAGCGCCAGGAGGGCGGAGGCCCGAGCAAGGGAGGACGCCAGGCCTGAGTCCAGAGGCCGGAAGAGGTCGAGCTCCAAGGTCAGGGAAGAGGCAGGAGCCCGTCCAGACACCAACAGCGGATAAAGCAGAGTCGCCTTGCAGCGGGCGGGGAAAGGCGTGGACAAAGACCTCCACGAAATCCCGAGCTTCCCAGAATGCAGTGGGGAGCCCATAGTGTGGGAGAGGCTTCAGGTTCTCAGGGCACTGATGCCTTTCCCACACAGACTGCTGAGAAAGCAGCTCTCACTCTCAATGAAGCTGGTTATAAGACTTCCGGTGCTTTGTGTCTGTCTGTTCTTAACTGGAAAGAAAAGGGTGGGTGTTGGTGAGACCAGTAGCAAGAAGATGTGAGGCCAAAGAGGAAAAGAGCTGAGATTCTGTTCCTGCTGCGGGACCCAGAGAGGAAAGAAAACAGGGAAACCTTCAGCTGCACAGGGGTAGTTAGAAGTGTTGAATTAATAAGCAGCCTAGCAACTCCAAATTGAGTTTTGGGCAGGAGGGTATGTTGCCAAGAGTACACAACCTTTGAATGGCCCCTTGATCCAAAGTGTTCTACTGAAATTCTTTTATGACAAAATCCCACCTTCCAAAATTGATTATAGTGATTGTGTAAGTTTTGCCTTGAGTTGATATGCTATTTTCATTTTTAAAAATGTCTTCAGTTAAATGAAGTAGTTGGAAAGCATCCAGCAAGAACCTGGCACAGGGTTGTTGTATGTTAAATAGGTGTATAAATAATCCTGAATTGGATGGTAATTTGCTGTAGCAGAAATCTATACTGAACCACGCTATTGTTTAGTGAGACCAGGATTCTAGTCCAAGTTCTGCTGCTCTGACTTTAGCCACGTTATTACCAAAGCATTCATGGATTCTTTTCCTGTGAGATAGTGGAATTTCACTGAGATGATTTTATGTGATTTTAGTGTTAGTGAAATGACAAGGGGGGCTTCCACATCACCATATGTACTTTACATGACAAAATTACAAAAGAAGGGAAATAGCTACTGGGAACGTGCTAATTCCTAGAGAGGAATTAAGTTCTATAGAAGGCATATCAGAAATACAGGTGATGGGGAAAATTACAAAATGAGTAGATTTTTGCTTTTGTTACACCATGACATCATTTATTAGGCACTAAATTAAAGTGTGGAGTGAACATAGTTGTCTGTGTTACTTTTCTTTCCTTGGTGAGACAAAATACCCAGCACCCAAAATTAAGGAAAGAAAGGTTTATTTAGCTCAGTTTGTAGAGGTTTTAGTCTATAATTAACTGGCTCCAAGGCAGGGTGGCATGGCACAGGGGTAACACTTGAAGGCAACAGAAGACAACAAAAGCAGCAAGAACAAAAGGTAGGGGAAAGCAAGTGTATTTTCCTCCCTTATATTGTAAGCAGGGTATCCCCACCTAGGGTGAGGGGGTGTAGCACTCATACCATCTCTGTGCCCTCTTGCACAAGCTCAGGATATTTGCAAAGTGAGGACCCTGGCTCTCTGCTGACTCACTTAGTAAACCTAAACTCAAGTTGACACAACGAATAATCTCCTTCCGTGGTAAGGGCATGTCCTTTACATCCCAGCATGTAGAACTGCTAATTAAGCTTCTAGACTTCAAGTTGACACAATGTATCAAACATAACAAAATATTTCTTTTAGTTGTGAATGGAGCGCTTAAAAATCTATGGGAGTAGTTCTCAAGCCATAAACTGTGAGGTAACACAAGAGGTTCCTCAGGAAGTAGAAGAGCGTCTGCTTAAATCTCTTAACAGGGAGGCATGTGAGTAATGTGTAATTGCCAGTCCTCCTCTGTGTATGTCTGTCTGTCTCTGTACAGGTTCTAATAAGAGAGGTGGTTTTGGCTTGCCCAGGTTATAGGCCCAGGGCAGGCAAGTTTTGCAGACCTATTTGGTGGCTGATACTCATCCTAGTCCTATGAAAACTTGAGTGACCATTTCTAATACAGCACCTCTTCCCATATGCATAGAATCATGAAGTGTTTTTTCAGCCTTCCACTCTGTCCCCTGAGGAAGGAGCAGTTCATTTACTAATTACACTAGAGTCCCTTTTTAATGTCCACTTGGTAAGGCCCATTCATCTTCTTGCACAGACTAAACTGATTTTAATGGTTCAAGAACTGGGAATAAAGCTAGAGTCTTAAGGGTGTGTGATGCTGCCTTTTTTGCTTCTCTGTCAGCCTTTTGCTTTCTGAAGGAGACTTTGGACATGTCTCTCTGTTTCCCTTTCCAATGCATGACTATGACCTGCTTGGGAAGATGGACTTTCTCTAGGAGTTGTAGAATGTCTTGTTTGTGCCTTATAAATGATTGCTTATTAGTCACTAAGCCTCTTTCTTTCCAGATTGCTGCATGGGCATGTTTGAGAGTCTGTATAGATAGTTAATGTTTGCCTTTTCCTAATAGCAGTGCCCAAGTAAGAGCTATTAGCTCTACCTTTTGAGCCGAGGTTCCCGGGGAAAAAGATTGTGCTTCAATGACCTGTTGTGATCTGACAAGTTCATACCCTGACTTTGTCCTTCTTAGACAAAGCTACTTCCATCAGTAAACCGCACTCATTATGTCTTGGAGGGGCAGGTCACTGATGTTTTGCTTGCTTGTCTATGTCTGAGAAATCACTTGTTCACTAGAGTGTCTAACTTCTGAGCTTTGTAGGCATCAGAGAGATAGGATTAGGACTGGTACTAGTTTTATGGTAACCTCAAAGGTGTCTAAGAGCATGGCATGATACTTGGTAAGCCATTTTCCTGTTAACCTCAAGTAAACTTTCATCTCTGGAATAGCTCTGAACTGATGGAGTCAGGACTTCTAGTATCTGTAAAGTACTGCCAGTTGTAAAGCTATGATCTTAGCCTTCTTTTTTGTTCCTCTTCTGGGTCCTAATTGTTAAACACAGAAAAAGCCCATGTGCACCAAATGGGCCATAGTTGTTTGTGGGCCAGAAGTTTTTGTACTTCACACCAAATATCTGGGACTGATTGACAAATGGAATCATGTCCCACTAGTGTTTCTTTCTCTCTGAAAGTTTGATCTGTATTAGTATATTTATGAAAGACTTCTATTAATGAGTTACAGAAGACAACTGGATTTTCCTGTGCACTCTCTATAATCGTACTCATTTTATCATAATTAGCAGAGTTTTTAATCCCATGTTAAGAGAAGTTGTCATATCAGCCATCATTTTTAGTCTCCCACTAGTATTACAGTCCCAATTCTGTTCTGTTAAAGGAAGAATAGCCTCTCCTGATGATTTAAAAGCTTATTGTTCACTTGAATAGTTCCTACCATCTTGTTTTTTGTCTTTCTGACAGTTGGTCTAGTTATTCTTTGCACTGCTGGACATCTGCAACTGAAAAACAGACTTGAACTTGCCCCCCTGGGGCCTCTCTTAGGGACAGGAGAAGTTGTGAGAGTAGTAAGAAACACTACTTCAGCCTGCATGGCTTATTGTTGTGTTTGGAGTATGAGGAGGGGGCGGAAGAATGCTGGGTTCCTCTGGGACACTAGGCTTTAATGGAATTTCTGAGTTCTTGGAGAGGATGAACCTGATTTACTGGCCTGGGGACTATAAGGAGGAGGTTGAAGAAATCTTCCAGTATGATCATCTGTTTCACACAGATCAGAGAAATCTATATCTCCCTGACAGACCGGCGGGGTTCTAAGAACAAAGTTATTTGAGATAACCTCCCCCTCAAGGCCCACTCTAAATACTGTAGTTCCTGAGCATAAAGAGTCACAAAAGCATGAACACAAGGGATTTCATCCTACCTTTTATGTTTTAAGCAAAAACGTTGTAACTGAAGAACAGTTTCATAATTAAAGTCTCATCCTGTAGCCATCTCTCACTGTTTCCCAGTTCGTATTGAACCCAAGCTGTATTGCAACACTAGATAACCTTTTTCTGTTTTCAGTTATCAAGATCAGAACTTTCTCACTCATCAAGGATGCAGCCTGGTGGTAGAGCTGATGAAATCCTATAGCAAGGTCCGAGAAGTTTGCCATGGCTCCTCTCCAGGTAAAGAGAGAGTGAGATAACTAAGTTTTGGATTGTGAAGGTGGTGTCCCATACTCAAGAAGATCCAGAGTCTCAACAAAGCATCCCTTGTGATATTTGAACATTTGCTAAGCAGACGTCTCTGTCTGAACTTCAGTGATGCCAGCCAGCATCTTTCACACAAACACAGAAGAAAGTCCTACTGAGGGCTTTTTTCCCAGTATACTGGGAAGTATGGAGACAAAAAGGGACCCATTAACCCCTTAGGGTGAAGGGACCTGAGCCACTTATTAATGACCTTACCTAGTCCTTTGACTGCTATGAAATAAAGGCTGACCCCACCCTCAAGTTCCTTTAGCCACCTAGTTGAGCCACTGAATACCTTACTTATGTAGAGGAAGCCACCTGAGAAAAACATCTGCTGCATTTACTCTAATAGTGAACCTTTTCTCCTAAGAACAGGGTGGCTCTGCTTTTGTATACTCACAGTCACTTCAGGTCAGTTTTAAAAACTGCTCCTTTGTGCTGCTCAGGCCGACAGGCATGTTTTTAAGTTACCTGCATTTTGTTAGGTGAAAGAAAGAAAGGATCCAGCCAGGAAATGATAGCTCCAGACGGGCTCTGGGACCCAGAGGGAGATGAGTCAGCTAGCACTGGCTGCTGGCCACTGAAAGGCAAAAGCCCCTGGAGCCTTTCAAACAGACAAATTTTTCTCTTCCTATGGGGAGACATTGTGCCAGCCACAATAACTGAAACGAAATGAGGGAAGAAGCCTGCATATTCTTCAATATCAGAGGTTCAGTTCCTATCTGTAAGGATGAGGATGTGTAAGGCCCGTTGGCCAAAAAGAAAAAGGGGGGAAAATGGCACAACTGTCCTAAGAAGGCAGTGAGCTGTGTTTGAAGACAACATTGCACCTGGCCACGTGACAAGGCAGGGCAGTGCTCCAGAGCAAAACAGCAAACCAAAAGAAAAGCCATTTACAAGGTGGGAAAGCAGACAGCAGGCTAATTTCCTAGAAAGATAGTAAAATACAGCAAACAAATACATAAGCAACAAAGCACATCAAACTCTAGGCTGCCACGCAGCACAGCAAGCAACTCAACTCATCCACGTGTGAGCACCAGTGACAAGATGTGTCTTGGTGCTAGGAGAAAAACAAAGGGCATTCGTTCCTTTCCTCATCACCCATGGTGGGACTAGCAAGCCCTTCCTGGTGCCATGAGAAAAAGCCTCACAGACTCCCAGCAGAGGGGAAAGACAGAAAGGG